TTCAAGACCGCATTCGATTAAAATACGACGTTTATTTTATTTACCCTACCATTCTTTGATCTCTTACGTGTCGCCGAGTACATTCACAATAAAAAAAAAGTAATAATAATAGTAGTAGTGATTTTATATATTTTTCTTGTTGCTTTTAATTATTTTCTACAATCTATTTTGTTAAGTTAATTTCCACTAATTAATGTGCACGATAAGAGCACAACAATATAAAGATGTTAATTTATTTAGTGTATATTATATATAAATAATTAAATTATGTGTACAAGTCTTCGCAAATGTTTCTCGCGTAACCTTGCTGAATTGTTGCCATGACCATCGTATTTTACTAATTATACGCCAAAAAGTATCGTTCGTATATATTAAAACCTGAATTCTGCATACGTTCTACATAAAATTAAAATGTTATAGCTTTTACACTTTCGCACACTTTAAGTCAAAATAAAATCTTTAGATTTATGCTAAATCTAAATATCATAAATCGATAAAAATTTGTATACTATAAATATGTTAATAATTACTAAACACATCCATCGGCTACTTGATTTTTAATAGATTACAAAAGTTAAGCAACGTATCTAATTGATAATATTTGAATGGATGATCTATATTATTTGATTTGAAAGAAAGTTAAGCAAGATTTTTAAAGGATATTGCTTGGATCGATGATATTTACAAAGCAACATATCTAATGTATAATAATTGAATGGATGATCTACATTATTTGATTGATATTGAATGAGCGTAATTTAGAAAGTTAAGCAAGATTTTTAATGGATATTGCTTGGATGGATGATATTTACAAAGCAACGTATCTATTGCATAATAATTGAATGGATGATCTACATTATTTGATTGATGTTGAATGAGCGTAATTAAAAAAGTTAAGCAAGATTTTGAATGGATATTGCTTGGATGGATGATATTTACAAAGCAACGTATCTAATATATAATAATTGAATGGATGATCTATATTATTTGATTGATATTGAATGAGCATAATTAAAAAAGTATACGTTGCTTTGTAAATATCATCCATCCAAGCAATATCCATTAAAAATCTTGCTTAACTTTCTAAATTACCTCATTCAATATCAATCAAATAATGTAGATCATCCATTCAATTATTATACATTAGATAGTTGCTTTGTAAATATCATCATCCAAGCAATATCCTTTAAAAATCTTGCTTA